CCCATAATGCCTTGACACCTCTATTCCTTTTTGATTTTACAGGGGTAGTCTCATCTAATCGTCCCCATTTTTATGTAATCTTCCCCAAGTCTTATGTTGTCATCCACTTCCCTGTTTATTGCAGGTTTGCCCAACACCATTTCTAAATCTATAATACTTCACCACCCATTTTATGGTGATAAGATCATATGACCTATTTTGGATGTGATCCGGAGATGCATCTTTGACATATTGCTGGGCATAAACCGTTCCCTCCGGTCACAAGTCAACCTTCGCTGCTGCCATTACTCTCTCAGTCCTAAAATAGTAAGATGCATTCTCATGAAATTACTGGAAATTCCTACTATGTAAAAATTTGCCAAGTAGCTTACAGAAGTATAAAGATTTGGATACAAAGCCAAAATCTTGATTTAGCACAACATGTAAGTCAGTTGCTTGCAGTCCATCTAATTGGGTCAATCATAGAAACATTCCCCGGCATTGTTTTGTGCCATCACAAAGAGAGAAGAAATGATATTAGATTGTATTATCCACTAATTATACCTAGGCAGCTCCATTGTGTGCAGCTGAAACTATTCCAAATTTTTTTTGAAAGCCACTATAGATAGTTTGAGTGTTGCTTAGATAAATACATTATCATATTCTGTAGAAGTGAATTCAATGTATTATCTATGCTTACTCTTATTCTTGCACCACTCAGTTAAACCAATTCTAGTACTTAAAAGGGACAAAAAAAACCCTTCTCTTTTTGTACTTTCTCTGTATGATTGTACACATAATTATGTCTTCCTTTAACTCTGTTCCTTTTAAAATAAAATAGCACAATATATCCTAGGCTTTGTACTAAGAATCACATGTGAAAATTTGGTACAGTGGTTAAACAGATCATTCTCAGTCTTTTTCCATGTATTGCTTCATACTTCAAATACAAGAAAATATGGGGTGTCCAAGGCTTTTTGGTTGCATCATCTGATCTGATACATCTGTGGTGTGACATCTTGATGAAGCAACAATGAAATAAGCTTATATATTACCTAATGAGAAAATATTTTTTTCTGTTAGAAAAAAAGGAATTGCTATGGTTGGCATAAAAATCAGCATTATCCTTTCCTTATTAATCAGCATATGCAATGTTGGACATTCCTGTTTCCTTTTATCGTTAATAACTCAATGCTGCATGGCAGCCAAAGCAGTGGGAGATGGGAACAAATTTGAAATACAGGGTTACTCGTTGAACGTGGCATTTTTCCCTTACACAACTTGCAATTGTTCCATCCATCTCTAATTTTATGTTCAAAAGGCAGTTTCATTTAGGGAGGCTTAGGAGGAACAGGCTTCTCTCTCATTTATTTCTGGTACTTTCTCATTCTCCTCCATCTTCACTATCTGACCTTAGAACTGATCACAGTTTGAGTCAATCCAAGATGCTTTCCTCTCTCAGGTGAAGAACAAGTTAACATCTTCTTCCTTGTTGCACATTTACAATCTAACAAGACAACCATGTTGATCTTATTGAGGCAAAAACAACCCTCATCACATGGCACACAAACACATTTCTAAAATAATCAAATGATTGATAAAGGTGTGTTGAAATGGAATCAAGAGAATTCTAGCCACAAGACAGTATTTAGTAATTGCTGAGCCAGTTTGATACAGCGGTAAAGTTGCTAGCCTAGAATGGAGGACACTGTGAGATCTAGATCTCCCTTATACACAAAAGCTAACTGGGTAAGTTTGGGCCAGTCACTTTTTCTCTCAGCCCAACCCATTTCACAGGGTTGTTGTTTTGGAAAATAGGAGACAGAGTATTAGATATGTTTGCTGGCTTGAGAAAGAGAGAGTGAGAGTAAGAGAAAAGGGATAAATAATTATTTATAAAAATAATGTGTTCTCATGATGGCTCTATCTATTCTAGCTAATGGTAGAGACGGTCCTGCACTGCTGATGCTAAATACAAAAGTAAACAGGAATTTATTATTATTATTTGTTTCATGCTGTACAATTGCCAACAAAACCTTGGTAGCATTCCTAATTATTTGATGATAAGAAATATTTTTTCTAACAAAGCTCATATGCTATTATTAAGTTTTCATATCAAGGAAACATTTTAACTTTGCTTGTATTATTCATCTATCCTGCCAATCAAAATTACTCTCTCTGGCTTATCTCTCGACTACAATGTAGATAAATCTAACTACTCTGAAGCAGAGCATTTCTTGCCACAGACATCTCAAGCTCTGTGATTTGTGATTTGCCATATCTCAGGTCCTGAGGTTTGGAGACATTCCTTTTCCTGGATTTCTGAGCAAATGAGAAAAAGTAACTTTTTGAGTCCTCAGAAATCCACTTCACACTTTTTCACCACTGTAAGGAACAAGACATGAATTACCTGAAGAGAATACTTAAATGGGCTTGTGGAATTTACTTTGACTTTTAGTAGCATTACAATATCCATTAATCTATGGCTGCCATTTGAGAAGGGAAAAAACTACAAAAGCAGAGTTTTTAAACATTTTCAGGTTGTAAGAGCTGTTGGTCAAAAATAATATATATCCTGGAATTCATGATCAAAAGGCATTTGCCTGTGTTCAAGTCATTTTTTAAAAAACTTACTGCATTTTATAAGCTATACACTATACTACTACACTACTTGTGTGTGTGTGCCTTAAAATCAGTGTTGACTCCTGATAATTGCCTATATTAGTCCTTGCAGTTTTCTTGGCATGATTTTGGAGGTGGTCTGTCATTGGCATGAAATGGCACTAGACCACAGTCATCTAACTGGCTTTATGCCAAAGGCAGGGCTAGAACTCATAGTCTGTAGTGGAATGTAATCTGGATTCCCAGGAGGGAAAGGATGCATTCCAGAAGAGCAAAGAAAAGAGGAAGAAGAAGATGGACTCATCTGAATTGTTGTGCTGGAAGAAGTTGCTTTGTGTTTGACAGACAGCCAAGAATGTCAATTCTTCAGTATTAGAGGAAATCAAGATTGGATAAAAAAAAATGCAAGGAAAGCAAAACAAAATGATCAGACTTTGAATATATCATGCCAGCTCATGTTTCTATGGAAACTATGATAATGCTGGGCAAGGGGGACAGGAAGAGAAGAGGCCAACAGCACCTGAAAAGGATCAGCAGTGGAAGCCACAGGACTACAACTGCAAGAAATTCAGCAAGGGACAAAACAGCTTGGAGAACTTCATTTTATTTTTATTTATTAAATGTATATAGACAAGCCCCCACCCACACACTGGGCAGCTTACAAAGTTAAAAATGCAGAAAACAGTACAAACCATCAAATCAGCAGGAATTGGCTACAATCCAAAGGAATATACTAACAAGGCATATTTCGTTGCCCCACCAATTTTGTTTCTGCATTCCAGATCCTATTCCCAAATGCCACTTTGTTCCTGCTTCTTAGGGTATCATGTAGTGCAGTAAACTCCAGTGACATAATGGAATTTACAGGACTACTCTTATACATTACACAAATGTATCAAGTACTAATTGAAAGCATACATGGGCAAGTTCTGGGGCCCTACTAAATTCTGCTATTCTTTCATATTTGTCTTAAAAATTATTAGAATATGAAATATTGTTTCTTTAGTACACAGTCACACATATACTGTGCACATAAATATGTGTGTGAGAGAGAAGGTATGGTAAAAGCTTTATTTATTCTTTTGTCATTCACCCCCTCACACACCTTTTTTTTTTAAATCCCTGCTCTCTGAAACAGATTTTTTTTTTTTATTTGATTTATATGCCGCCCTTCTCCGGAGACTCAGGGCGGCTTACAATGCGCTAAGCAATAGCCTTCATTCTTTTGTATATTTATACAAAGTCAGCTAATTGCTCCCACAACTGGGTCCTCAATTTACCTACTTGACAATTATTTTGGAGCAATAGACCAAAAAAACAAAACAAAACTAGAGAATTTTGCTGCTTGAAGCTTTCCCTATAGGGACCGTAAAAATTCAAAAGCAATTAAACACTGCCCTCTACTGGAATTGGACATCCTTAGCATTTTGTGTTGCAGCAGCCAAGGTACCGTGTAGTTCCACTCCGTTTCCTCTTCGGTGATAAAACGTAAATCAATTATATTCTCAGAAATCCCCTTCGTTCTTTTTGAAAGTAGCTTTTTTAGTTGCTAGAAAGCTAGCAACTAATCCCTTTCTACCAGTTTAAGTTTGAAATGCACAAAGCCTTTCTGAATGAATCCATGAATCAATGAACGTAAGTACGGTAATTCCGAATTCTACTTAGAGACTTGGAAACACGAACTCAGAGATTCAAATCGGAGGGATTTCGTGGCGGCACAACAATTGCCGGAAGTTGGTGAAAGTTCTGAAAATGTATGGGGTTATTTAAATATGCCATGTTTTTATATTTACATTTGGCGTGGAGCATTGCATGTTGGGAGATGTAGTTTCCCGTTCCAGGAGTGATTTCTGAGAAGCTATGCAGTTTCGAGAGAAATAAAATAATATTACCATGCATGGGCTATTTTGGGAAATTAAAATTAATGAATATGGATCATTATTAATCTGGCAATATTCCAACGATTATAAACTTCGTTAACCTGATCAATAATTGCAGTTTTTTTTTTACTCAGTAATTACTGAGTTAGATTAAAACGGATGTTGATTTCTGATGAGGATTCTTTGGATTAAAAACAGTACTGGGGAATTGGCATGCTCTTAAGCAAAATGTAAGGGTATGTACTGTCTACAGTTAGGGAATTCCTCTGGTCCTACATAAGTTCCATAGAAAGAAACAGCAGATATCTGTGGATCACCTTCTTTGGAAGTTTACCTATCTACAAATAAGTAAACAAATAAAAAAATAGCTGGGATGGTTAAAAACTATGTCTTGTGGCCAGAGGTGCAGTGAAAGAAACATCTTGTACCTCGATTGCTTTTCTGACAATATATGTTTTGGTGACGGTTGTATCCACTTGTATTGCCATTTTAGGAGTATGGATGGCCATCTTGGCCTGTCACACCACACAGGAGCTGTTTTGTGAAGAATGCCCACATCATGCTTGCAAAATTCAAGTAATACAAAGGTGCCTAATCTCTGCAGTAGTTTGTAATCTGCAAGTACTTTTTTCACTTATAGTACATTTCCTGAGCCAAACAACAGACATAAATCCAGTAACAAATGTTTCATTTTGAATCAAGTTGTTTCCAGTTTTGTCTAATTGGTGAGAATCAGTTTTTAATTATGTGATTCTGAAAATCCTTACAAAAATATACATTTTATACACATTTCTCCTAATACACAATTTTGCTGCACAGTTTTGCCTGGCAATTTTCTTTGCCAGCAATTTCATTAATATAATTAATTTGGCTACGTGATGTTGTATATGCATTTTATATGCTATTTTCCCTAATGTAATTTTTAAAATTGAGAATTGTAATGTAAAATTCATAAAAATATTTTAAATATCATACTTTAATGATATTTTATATGAATATCATATAAAAGTATGAATGTCATAATATACCAATATCCTATAGGTGTAGTAAGATTTATCACTTGTTTGTATTTTATTATTTTTTATTGTATCTTACTATTTATGACTTATCACTTTGTTGTTTGTATGTACACAGAGAGTTTATGCACCGGAGACAAATTCCTTGTGTTTTCAATCACGCTGGTCAGTAAAGAATTGTATTCTGTTCTGTTCCATTCGTTCTGTTCCGTTCCGTTCTGTTCTGTCAACTATTTAAGCATTGGGAAGTATAACATGTTGAATTTCTTTCCAAACAGCTTCTGAATCCACAGGGCAAAGCCTGACAATTGTATACACTGATCATAGGGCTCCCTCTAGTGTTAGTCACATGCAGAACATGTAAATTATGAAAGTAGCATTATTTTCTTCTAGGCTGTTAAAAAAGTTAAATGTGTAGGTGAGTATATCTTCTCATGCTTTATGTGAATAGTTAAAATCCTTGCTACTATAAATTTCAACCTGCCATTAAAATAAAAATAAGAAAGGAGAGCCTTTTGTTAATCCACCCTCATATTTCTGATGATGATGTTATCCATTCAGTCATGTCCAACTCTTGCCAATTTTATGGACCAGTTGTGTTCACATCTTCTGATCTTCCACTATTTCTTTGAGTTTTTCTATGTTCTGACTGGTGTCAGCTTTTATGCTATGCAGCCACTGTGTTCTTCGATGGCCTGGTTTCCTGTTACTGCTAACTTCCAAACACAATTGCTTTTTCCAGTGAATTTCCCTGCATGATATGGTCAAAGTAAGTGAGACAGTTTCGTAATTTTGCTTTCTAGTGACATGTCTTGTGTATGTTTTCTCAGAAACCTCTCAGGACTGTTGATTACTTGTAGTTTATTGTGACAAAACTTTGCCAAACTCAGTATTCCCCTTATTCCCACAATATTTGTTTCATTTTGTTCTAAATTCCAACCCATGAATTAGACAGTCTTTTGTCATCACACTGCATCAAAGGAAGAAAAATACTTTTATTTTAGTAGTTCTCTTCTTTTAATTCATAACTATTCTGCTGTAAGTTCAAGGTGGGTCAAATTTACAATCCTTTGTCACCATTATCTTTCAGATTTGTTCAGATAACACACATTGCAGGAATGTCCACATGCATATTCTTAGTATGTTGGTCTCTGTACAACTTGAAATAAAATCTGAGTAGTTACAGTATCCTTGTTTTTTCCTATCCTTTTGAAAATAATGAAAGATGCTGAACTAGATTTTTTATTAAAAATCTGTCTGTGTCCTTGTTTCATTTCAATCACTTTCCCAATGAAGTAGGAGCTCTCCTCTCTGGGTCTGTTTTTATTCTGGTATCTTCCCAAGTTTGTCTCATTATATTGACTAAATGTGAATCTGTTTAATGCTGTTCAATAAATTGAAAACAAGGTGTTCTTTCATTTCAGGCTAGTTTTAAATAAATGCAATTAAAATATGTGAAGAGGGATTAAAAAAAAAATCAACCTGGAGATGTCCAGGCAGAGTTCCCAAAAAGTAGAACTGAGCTGTAACATCAGCTGTAACACCCCTTCTTGATCATGGTCCCAATAGGTGGTTGATTCACTGCTGGCTAGTGATGTGCTGAAGGAAGACAGCAGCAAGGCCAAAACAGAAAACTTATGGTGAGGCCTAGAATGACTATCACACAAAGCTGAACAAAAGAATTTGACAAGGAGGCCTAACAGATGAAACAGAGGCAGGATAGGAATTAACGGCCATCAGCCAATTTTCTGGTTGTTTTGTGCTGACACAAGGAAGGGTGGATAATGCCTTAACTCCATACTGGGAAAAGGCCTTAGATTGTTTTATGCCAAAGAAAACTTTGCTTTTCCAGGACCAAAAGCCAAAAGTGAAGTTGGCTGTGCAAGGCCAATGAAAGGACATAAACGAACTATTAGGACCCTACATAAAAATTCCAAACAACAAGATAATACTTTCACTTCCTCATCACATCTAATTAGGCCATAATTCACATTTTCATAAATTAATGGGTGGCAAGATGTTTCATATTTATGAACTAAACCCAGTTTTCTTTATTTAAATAGTTTCTTGCAATGTATAATGCAAGGTTGATTGCCAGATGGCAGCTGTCTATCTTAGGTTACATTCCAAAACAATGTTCCTTGGGGTGTCCAATGTCCTTCATCCTAGAACAGGGGTCAGCAATCTGTGGCTCTGGAGCCGCATGTGGCTCTTTCACCCCTCTGCTGTGGCTCCCTGTCACTCAAAATATGCGTCACAACCGCCTATGTACGACACCCACCGGCACATTATTTATTGAGCTTTTCAACCCCTGGTAAGCCAACCATGGATAAATCCAAGAAAAGAAAAGTTTCAGAAGAAAACAGAATGTTTAATTCAACTACGTATGCTAGTTTTGTGGCCGCTCAAGAAATAGTCAGGCACGGGAAGGGTTTTGTGGCTCCCGGTGTTTTCTTTTCTGTGGGAAGCAGGTTCAAATGGCTTTTTCAGTGTTTAAGGTTGCAGACCGCTGGCCTAGAAGATCACTAAAGTCAGTGCAAGAGGTATGGTTGTTTCCATTTTTCAGAGGTCCTATTCTATTCCTTGTCTTTCATTTCTAGAAATCATATTGAGAAACTGAAGATGCCAGCAGTAAAGATACCATTATTCTGCAGTAAAGTTCTTTCAAAAGTTAATGGGAAATAATAATAAACCCATGCAAATGCCATTATCTAAAGTAGGAGAAAAGGAAGGCAAGAAAGCTAGGGGAAACAGTTCACCAGGCGATATGAGCAACTTGAGTGGGTTATGAACCCCTGAAAGCATGCTGTTCCCCTTAATCATAGCACTATGTATAAGTACTTGAAATTAAGAACTGTTACTCCAGTTCTTGACAGCTGGGTAAATCTGTGAGGGGGTCAGGATGGGCCAAAATAGCTTCTTGTTACAGATTGTGTACAGTTTTATACTGGGAAGCATCTTTATACTTTTGTCTTTTGGCAAAGGAATAAGGAAATTTCCATGGTAGTAGCAGGTTACAGCTTGATATGCCCCATGTTGCTCTATCAGGATCTGAATTTGCAAGCAACGTAGGTCATACCCTAAGTTCATTTTAATCAGTGGTTTTAGATAGGATAATTTGGAGAGAGGCGATTTTATATTGTGGGAGGAAGCACCATTTGGAATGTTTACTGTAGGTAACAAACTGTCTTGGGCTAGCCATGGACCATAATTCTTCCAGACAGGGAGTTAGCAGTATCCAGTCCTGAAAAGAACAAAGGAGCTACCTCTTCTTCATGCTGTGTTGTCTTCATTTCCTGATTTCTACTTGCATTCCAGGAAATCAGCCTGCCCCTAATACTCCAATTGCATATTCAAGGCAATGACATTTGACCTTCAAGGTCAAACTTCTCCCAATATAACATTTCTCTAACTGGCAGGAGAGATTTCCCTTCCCTTACAAACATTCAAACTGGCTTTTCTTCCCATTCTCAGTTAAGAAAAACTTCTATGATAAGGCTTGTTATTTGGGGAAGGGATATAACTATTTAAAATAAATCCATTTCACACAAACAACTGCTTTATTGAAGATATGGTGAGACCTTTTGAGGTGGTTATGTAGTAGTTTATGACCATATTTTGGGAATACAGTTCATTTTTTTTGTGTGGAAAAGAATTCGTTTCAACCACAGTTGCCAAAAGACAATAGCATCATTCTCTCTAACTTAGGACATGGAAAACATACAAAACTTGTGATATTAGCTCTGAAATAAAGCTAAATAGTTTTTGTTTTTTTTTTACAAAGGATGAACCCATAATTTCCTCTGTTAACAGGAAAACAAAAAATTCTGATCCTGCCCACTTCTTGTCTCTGTTCTTCATCTCCTCCCACCCTGAGATGTCCCTTCTGCACTATAGAAATCAGATTTGACAGATGTTTGCTTCGCACAATCTAGTGGCCACCAGATGTTTCAGACTACAACTTCCCAGCATCTCCTGCAAAATATGGGAGATGCCATACTCTACCTCTGGAGGGAAAGCTATTCTAGATACCCAAAACAGAATTGCATTCCCTTTGCTGCAACTCTAACTGCTTGGGTGAGGGAGAACAAAGGAGGAGTTCCTTCCGCGGGCTCTTTCCCCCTTTCCTCAATTGTTTTGGATCAGCGCCTTCGCCTCTCTCTCTCTCTTTTTTTTGTACCAGCAGATACAATTTCTGAAAATAAACAAACAATTAGAGAAGTTCAACATGGACCCAAACAAACCCACTTTCTCAAACAAGCGCTAAAGGAAGAGGAAGGGGAGATCTGGCCAAGGGTAGTAGATCCCGCCCTACAATAAAGAAGGGCGGGAGGCAGGGGGGGCGGGGGGGGGGCAGAGACTTTGACATTGCACAGAAAAACACCATAAAACCTTTTGAGGGTAAAGCCTGGAGACCTAGACGGGCTTCAGATGTCTCCTTCGCTTTAAAATCGCCTTCTTCTGATAGGCGTTTTTGTGTCGGTGTTTTCTTTTTCTTTCTTTAGTTCTTTGTTCCTTTCTTGATTTATTTTCTCCCTTCCTTTTCCGGCGTTGGCTTCTCTTTTCTCTCCTTTGTCACCATCCCCCAAATCGGACCAATTGGTTCGTGTGGATTATTCCCATTTTTAGTTAGTTGTGTTGAAGTGATATTTTGTGGCGGTGGTGGACATACATATGAAAGTGGGGGGGGGCATATTCTTCTCTCACTTTTGTTTTTAAAGTCTAAACCTAAAGTTTAAGCTTAAAGCCTAAGGAACCAGTTAATTAACTGCTTTGGTTTCGTTTCAAATATATACTTCTGGCCATGCCGATGTTGCAATGTCCCTCCCCAAAATCTGTATACAAGGGGATTTGAAATGTTGAAGTCCGTCATCTCTCGCGCGCACGAGTTTTCTCAAATCAAACCCTCTATCAGGAAGGAAAAGTGCAACATTGAAAAGGAGTTTTTATCTTCGCTGGCCATTCACGGTTTAGACCCATTCTTGATTTCTCAAAGTCTAGGAGAGCAGCGCCTTGGTAAAATCGGCAGTAAGAAAGAAAGCCAAGTTTTTGGATGATCAGAGAGTCAGCTATCAAACTTCCTTCTTGAGAGATCGGACCTCCCAAGTCAGCAAAATAAGTGGTCTTATTTTGCCTTGCGTGAACAACTTTGCCTCTTTTAAAAGCCAGGAGCTTCAAACGTCCTCGCTGATCTTCTTT